ATGTGTAACTGTTTCTTCACATCGTTGATGGTTCGCCATCTTGCATTCTCCCGTAACACTTTGTTAGTTAACATGTGTTGATAATGTGCACCAGTAACAATGACGGTTCGTAAACCATGATCTGTGAGATCTCAGAGAAATGGAGCTCAATGAGGACACTGCTAATAAACCCAATCCACACAATCACCATTAGATCATGAAAGAGTTTAGATTGAATACATGTGGGTTGGACTCAGTCCAGATAATTTAAATGAGGGTGTGTTCACTTAGCTGTCAAGTGGGAGTTAGGCTTCATCAGTCTACAAAACATTGTCAAGTCACGTGTTCACTTAGCTGTCAAGGTGAAAGTATGTGAAACATCGATAAGAGATTTCCACAGTTGTCAGTTTTATGCAGCTGTGTCCCAAGTGGAAGATGCCATTAAGAATGGTGAAGCGTGCTGTGAGAAGTTATTGTTGGATTAGTTCAGCGGAATGTTAAAGGTGGTTTGTTCCAATAAACTGGTATTTAAAACTCCGCTTTCAAAGTCACACATCGACTTTAGAAAAAAATAATGTCAAACATTCATGTAGTGGTTTCGACGTTACGTCACATCCGCTTGTGATAAGATTTGAAAACTGGGAGTTCCTTTCCAAGTATCCAACGTGTATGCACACATAATTACGATAACACGTGTTATAGTTTGAGATTTTCAAACAACGGAATGGATGAAGCAACTTTACGTTCACCCTTTAAAGACTGATAATATAAAAAAAAAGAGAAAGAAACATAAATACCGATCAAACTTTAATTTGAAAAGTTTCAACATAAATACTTATTAATTTCGATCTTCAAGATTTACAAGAATGTTTCATGTTTTTCAAGATACCGATCTCACTTTAGTCTGAAAAGTTCCAACATAAATACTTATTAATTTCGATCTTCAAGATTTACAAGAACGAAAAACATGAAACATAAATACCGATCCAACTTTAGTCTAAAAAGTTTCAATATAAATACTTTTTAACCTCGATCTTCAAGATTTACAAAAAGGAAAAACATGAAACATTAATACCGTTAAACTTTAGACTGAAAAGTTTACAACATAAATACTTATTAACCTCGATCTTCAAGATTTATAAGAAAGAAAAAGATGAAACATAAATACCGATTAAACTTCAGTCTGAAAATTTACAACATAAATACTTGTTAACCTCGATCTTCAAGATTTACAAAAAGGAAAAAGATGAAACATAAATACCGATTAAACTTTAGTCTGAAAATTTACAACATAAATACTTGTTAACCTCGATCTTCAAGATTTATAAGAAAGAAAAAGATTAAACATAAATACCGATCAAACTTTAGTCTGAAAAGTTCCAACATAAAAGATAACAACATCAGAGATACTTATTGATCTCAATCTTCAAATTTTACAAGGAAGAAAAAATGCACAATTCAAACTTGCGCTAACCCAGTTACAAAACATGTGGTATTGTACGATAACAATAAGCAGAACAAGTATTTTTAGTTCATAAGAGTCGGACTTTCACCTTATGTTATGAGTGTTATTTTAACATTTTTAGGTCATTAACCCAGTAAGTAAGTCCCTAGAAATCAACTAGACTTTTTATTATGATTTGAACTCTGAAATCATGACTAGGAAATTATTTTTTTATGTTCTATTTATAAAACATGCCAGTTTTTCATACCAAAGGTCATTAACTTACCCGAGAACCCAGAATAGTTAACGTTCTTTTTTATTAGTGCCACTTATGTATACTTAATGAGATGAAAAACATAAAGTTATTTAAGTATATCTGATGGCACATACATCACCATACTTGTTACATTCATGGTTCTATAAAATGAAGCTTCTGAAAAGTCGAGATATACCGCTGTGCTACTGGGAGGAATTGTCCTAATCAGTATGCTCAATGATGCTGCAAGCCGCTGGTGTAGGAATTCTCTGAAGATTGCAGAGACCCAGTCTATTCAAACCTGAACTTCCGGTTTTGTGATAGACATCAAATGTTATAAAGAGAAGAAATGCTCTTTATACTTTAAATAAAAGTCCAAGACACAGTTTTTTTATTGTCATCATATAAACTGTTGTCTACTGTCAATATAGTACTTGCGTGTGTCAGTTGTAGTTAATATTGTCTAGGATGTGCGTGTGTCAGTTGTAGTTAATATTGTCTAGGATGTGCGTGTGTCAGTTGTAGTTAATATTGTGTCTAGGATGTGCGTGTGTCAGTTGTAGTTAATATTGTCTAGGATGTGCGTGTGTCAGTTGTAGTTAATATTGTCTAGGATGTGCGTGTGTCAGTTGTAGTTAATATTATCTAGGATGTGCGTGTGTCAGTTGTAGTTAATATTGTCTAGAATGTGCGTGTGTCGGTTGTAGTTAATATTGTGTCTAGGATGAATTCTGTAAAGCTATTTAACTCATCATCTCCAGCGTCCTGACTAATAATGCAATGCTCATAGTCAGTGGAAAAGCGAATTTATTTACTTTTTTAAAATCCTGTCAGGACTTGGAAACAGTATATCATAGGTTCAACTACATTGGTTCGTTCTCAAAAGGCAACATGGAAGCAGCTGTTCATTTATTTAGCGAGTTAGTCGCTGTAAAGACATAAGACAATTATTAGACAAACGTTGAATATTTGCAGTTGTTGGTTCATTTATCACTTTACCCCTTAAGTGGCACAGCAGCATGTCTGCAGACTTGCAATGATAAAAAATGGGTTTCAGTACTCGTGGTTGGCAGAGCACAGATAACCCATTTTGCAGCTTTGTGCTTAATTACAAACAAACAAAATTTATCACCTTAACATAGTTTATTGTTTGTATATTGTTGAAGGTAAAAAAAAACAACAACTACGTTTTCTTTCTTACATACGTATACTATTTTAGGATTAAACTAAAGCACTGCACACCACTAGGTTGTTTACGGTCATTTAAGCTGAAATGGTTTATTGTGATGAAATTTACACCGATTTACGTATTTTAATGGACGTGTAAAGGAATCTAAGTTCGTTTGTTTAAACGTGTAATTTCAGGAAAAATATTCAGTCATGAGAGAAGGTTTATTTGTTTTTGAGACATTCATGCGAAGTTACTCAAGGGCTATCAGTGCTAGCTACGCCTAAGTTTGAACTGACAGACTATAAGTATTTGCTAACTTAGAAAACGGTAAATTAATAATAGCTTAAAGGCGCGAAGGACTTCAAAAGCTTAGGTCTATCATGTGTCTTACCATACGTTCTCTGGAAATGGGTTTTGACCCATTCTCTCCATATATGACCTACAGTCGGGACCGGATCATCAGATAAACAAACTAGGCAGGATCTTATGGCCCATGTTTTTGTGGTGGGGCTCAAAGCGGAGAGTTGTTATTTTTGTTACTTAAAAATAGCTGAGGGTACTAAAGAAGGAAAAATTGTATAAAGGACAATGTTAGAAAATGTTCCCCTTTCTTTTGTTATTGAATTTCTAATGACTCCAATAGATGCTGCTCTGCTTTATAGAAGGTACTAATTAACTTATGTGCCTGATTACTTGTCTCTAAAAGGCTATAAAAAGTGGAAATGTACCCTATTTCAGAGTCTATTTATTTATCCGGCCCGGCACTGCCAGGTGGTTAGGGCGCTCGACTCGCAATCTGCGGGTCGCGGGTTCGAGTCCCCGTCCCACCAAACATGCTCGCCCTTTCAGCCGTGGGGGCGTTATAATGTGACGGTCAATCCCACTATTCGTTGGTAAAAGAGTAGCTCAAGAGTTGGCGGTGGGTGGTGACGACTAGCTGCCTTCTCTCTAGTCTTACACTGCTAAATTAGGGACGACTAGCGCAGATAGCTCTCGCGTAGCTTTGCGCGAAATTCATAACATACAAACAAACAAGTATAACCGTCGCATATAAAAGTACGGAATAAAAGTGGGTTACAAACTATATAATGAAAGAGTAAACGTACCTTAATATGAGAAGCATTTGCAGAAGACTGGCTCAAACAGAGGCAAGAATACATCTAACAACATCAGTTATTCTATACATTTTGGATTTGTTTTCAGATATTCGCTCGAAGCTAATAAAGTTAGTTTTTCTCTATTTTGAACTGATAGTCTGGAAATCAGCTAGTCAACAACAGCCACCTCCAACGCTTGGGTTACTCTTTTCAGACCGAATAATGGAACATAACTATCATAGATCAACTCAAAGAAGAACAATCAACGATGTCGCTTTGCGATATTTTTGCTTTGCTAAAATAGGACCTGTCCTTATTTTTCTTTTTCATCGCGCAACTCGAAGAGAACTAATCAATCAAAATAACCCTGCTCATAGTAATAATAAAGATAATTATAAAGGTGTTCATTACTTAGTGCTTAAAGCAACAACAACAACAACGTAATATTAACAATAATATTGTACTTTACGATAGTTTAAAATGGTGATAAACTACAAGGATCACAGACACACAACGGAGGATGCAGTAGGTTGTCTATATATATATATAATTATTTTAGTGTTAATTTGTTGAAAATATTAGTTTAATTATAGCCTACTAATACTACTGCGGAGGTCTGAGCTTCTGTTATCAAAACACGACCTATTTTTTTTAAAAGTCACGTCGATTGGTCAAAAATGGCACATGCGTACTTGAAAATAAATATTAACATTTAAAGCAGAAAAATTTCCGAAATGTTTGAGCATTGAGCACTACTAACTCGGTCGTCAAAGGGTACAATGTTACAGCTTTTTTTGTTATTCTTTATATGCGCATTAATTAGAAGTTACTCTCCAGTTTTTGCTGATTTACATAATACTGATTATGACGATAAAACTTCAGATTTTCCTTGGATATTGTCTGACGTAGAAGCAGTTAAAGCGTGGGAAAACTTGAGAAATAGTTACACAGCAAAAGCTTTAAATGTAACAAAAACCGTGAAACCGATTCTAGAAGACTTGCTGGGAACGATGAACATCAGTGAAACTTGCCATCACAGTGTAATGGAGGTATTGACGTCATTCGGTAGAATGGAGACGTGGGCCATGAAAAGTGAGTAGAAAAGTAATTGGAATCAAAATCCTCAGTACTCACTCATAAAACATAATTGATAAACCTTGATAATAAATAACCTAGTGAGTAGAAAAATATTTGGAATCAAGATCCTCAGTACTCACTCATAAAACATAATTGATAAACCTTGATAATGAATAACCTAGTGAGTAGAGAAATATTTGGAATCAAGATCCTCAGTACTCACTCATAAAACATAATTGATAAACCTTGATAATAAATAACCTAGTGAGTAGAAAAATATTTGGAATCAAGATCCTCAGTACTCACTCATAAAACATAATTGATAAACCTTGATAATAAATAACCTAGTGAGCAGAAAAATATTTGGAATCAAGATCCTCAGTACTCACCCATTAAACCAAATTTAGCCTTCAGTAAACCTTGATAATGAATAACCTAGTGAGTAGAGAAATATTTGGAATCAAGAGCCTCAGTATTCACCCATAAAACCAAATTTAGCCTTCAGTAAACCTTGATAATGAATAACCTAGTGAGTAGAGAAATATTTGGAATCAAGAGCCTCAGTATTCACCCATAAAACCAAATTTAGCCTTCAGTAAACCTTCATAATGAATAACCTAGTGAGTAGAGAAATATTTGGAATCAAGAGCCTCAGTATTCACCCATAAAACCAAATTTAGCTTTCAGTAAACCTTGATAATGAATAACCTAGTGAGTAGAGAAATATTTGGAATCAAGAGCCTCAGTACTCACTCATAAAACATAATTTAGCCTTCAGTAAACCTTGATAATGAATAACCTAGTGAGTAGAGAAATATTTGGAATCAAGAGCCTCAGTATTCACCCATAAAACCTAATTTAGCTTTTAGTAAACTTTGATAATGAATAACCTAGTGAGTAGAGAAATATTTGGAATTAAGAGCCTCAGTATTCACCCATAAAACCTAATTTAGCCTTCAGAAAGATTCAGATGATTAACTGTACATCAGCGTGGATAGTTTGTAAATTTTATTCTTGTATCAAAAATATAACGCTAAGCTCTGAGACATAAAGTGGCATTCTTTATAGTTTGACTCTTTTCAAGGTTCATCAACAAGGTGGTTTTTACAGTATTTCATCTTTTCCCTAATTCTTAGAACAGTAAAGCATTTAAATTGGACAAACTTCGATGTCACAATTTTCTATATAATTATGCTAAGATATTTTTATTTTCAACAATTTAAGCTTTAAATTATATCTAATTCTATCACAACATTTCACACGGTATGCACTATACGATTTACCAACATTCCATGTTTCTTTCATATGATACCAATTTCAAGGTTTTTTTTTGTAAAGAAGGTGTATGTCAGTTTTAAACAAAGTAATACGTGTGTTTGGCTGCCTTATGAACTTTAAAAAAGGTCAGAGAGGTCTCAGTCACCATAATGATAGCTAGTCTCGGAGCTGTTGGTGTTTCTTCTTGGTAATACAATGTAAAGTACCTTAGATGCTCTTTGAAAGTAATTTTTCTTCGTTGGAACGTGGAGCATAGAATAATGTTCCAGTAGAAAACTATGGAAAAAAATCCAACAGTAGAAAACTATGGAAAAAAAATCCAACAGTAGAAAACTATGGAAAAAAATCCAACAGTAGAAAACTAATGGAAAAAAAATCCAACAGTAGAAAACTATGGAAAAAATTCCAACAGTAGAAAACAATGGAAAAAAATCCAACAGTAGAAAACTATGGAAAAAAATCCATATTTTCATAATCTCGTTTTTGTCGCATAGAACGAGTCAATTTTGCCCCCCCCCCACCATCATTGAGCACCATAAACCAGAGATAAACAATAGAATTGTGCACCATAAACCAGAGATAAACAATAAAATTGTGCACCATAAACCAGAGATAAACAATAAAATTGAGCACCATAAACCAGAGATAAACAATAAAATTGTGCACCATAAACCAGAGATAAACAATAAAATTGAGCACCATAAACCAAAGACAAACAATAAAATTGAGCACCATAAACCAGAGACAAACAATAAAATTGAGCACCATAAACCAGAGATAAACAATAAAATTGTGCACCATAAACCAGAGATAAACAATAAAATTGAGCACCATAAACCAGAGACAAACAATAAAATTGAGCACCATAAACCAGAGACAAACAATAAAATTGAGCACCATAAACCAGAGAGAGCACCATAAACCAGAGATAAACAATAAAATTGTGCACCATAAACCAGAGACAAACAATAAAATTGAGCACCATAAACCAGAGATAAACAATAAAATTGTGCACCACAAACAGATAACATAAATTATATCCAGTTCAGAATGCTGCAAAGGGCATAATTTGAGAAATATAACTGCGGTAAAAGACATTTAGCATATCCCTTATCTTCAATTATACTTCAAACGCAGTTGAAAACTAATTATGAAACTAGTCATAAAAATAGCTCAACAAAAGATAAAGTCTAGGTGTATCAACCACAATGTCCGCGACCGAATGTTGTCCATGATAGTAACCTTTCTAACGTAGTGACCTTACATTATAAAACGAGCTTTATATATATATCCTTCCTACATAAAGATGAAGAAATCACCTACCCACCACTGCTATCACTTCAGTTATCTTTGTGAAATAACACGTTTTGCAGTGTTCTGTAATGGGCATAATTTCTGTTATCTGTTTATGATGTACTGTGTGAATTTAATTTCATATATATGTACATATAATTATTAAAACGTATTCTTTGATGCTGACATAGGAGATCGTTGGGTTGAGCTACGAGAAAGACAACCATGACGAGAATTTTTTACTCGAGCTACAAATATTCTTTCCTGCAGTTCACCTATTTCTCCTCGACACGATGACCACGACAATACTTTTTCTTCAACACTTCTCGTTGACCTATTTTTCAACTTTGTCTTTTCCCACCTGTTTTACTAACTATTCCCATAAAGAAAAATGTTTCACACCTTTCAGTTATGTACCGTTTTAACTTTAAAAAAAACCCAACAACAATACCATTATTCCATACAAGTACCTACTTTCTTTTACGTCATTGTCTAAGATAATAAATTACTTGCGCATGGTTCTCGGCCTTTTGAGGGCATTTACATGATTTTTTTAATTCCTTAAATACAGTTGTTAAATAGAACATTTATTTTAAATTACAGTTGTTAGTGAGTTCGATTGGAATCATTCTACCCCATCTTGTAAATAAAACGGTTCCAACAACAAGAAGTGCATTTTTTTCAGCCATCTAATAAAAGTCTATCTCTAATTTTTTAAATTAGAAATGGCATATATAATAAAGCATGTTTTATTTTAAAATATTTTACTTTTTTTTCTTGACATTCATTTTCATAGGTCAAAACAGGATTCGTAGTTAAGGTGGCCGTCTTACCCACCTTCCACTGCTCTTAATAAAACTAATTGTATTTGTGAATAAAAAGTTGTTGGCATTTCTTACCAGATGCACTTGTCCTCATTTATTGTAAATACTTCATAATATCCACACGTATTGGTAACTTCTTACCAGAAAAACGTATATTTATTTTCCTTATTGAAGTTTGATGTCAACATATTGCAGGCATCGTTTTATATTCCTATACACTTCAATTATAATAATGTTACTGATAAAACATAGTTCTGGCTACTGATCAGAAACCAGTGGAAGTGGTAATTAAAAGCAGCATTTCATATGCGTTGTAAGTTCGCAGACTTACCGCTGTGCCAACTTCAGAAAGAGAATTATCCAAATGAACAACTAACTACGCACACTGAAATATCAAAGAGAAATTAAACGAATATCAATAAATAAAATTTTGTAATTAGTCAAATAAATACATATTTACGAAATGAATGAAAAGCTAAGAAAACATCAGCTTGGTGAAGTGAAAGGAAAACAAAAGTAGCAATCGCTAGAATCATTAGGTTTTTGTTTGTTGGACTCTGATGTTTTAATAAATATGGTATATTTGTGCCTGTATATTTTTTTGGATATGTTTTCTTTTGAACAGAATCAAAAGTACTTGAAACTCAAGTAAACTTAATATATCCCACCATGTTCTGTGTAAGATATTATCTAGCATCGTGTTTTAAAAATAGAATCCGGGTTTCGATACCCGTGGTGGGCAGAGCACAGATAGCCCATTGTATAGCTTTGTGCTTAATAAAAAACAAACAAACAAATATTTCTGAAGTATTTATATTTATAGCATCCACTCTGCTTCTACAGTCCTTTCGAAACTGTATGGAAAAGCTAAAATCTGACAAATAATTATACGTTGTATTAACAAATGTATTATTTCATTATCGCAGTAAATGAATTTCTTTCGTAATTATCCGGTTAAATATTTCGTCAACTTAAAAACAGTAGAGCAGTGTATCTGTGTTTTTTAACAAGATGTATGATTCTTTATTTTCAGAGTTTGACATTATTATTCTTGACTTTGTTTAACGCAAACTGGGGTTTATTACGAGACACTTTTATAAACGTAAATAAAATAACGGCCTATATCTCTAGAATGTAACTTTATTAGCCCAATATTTCGCTATTACAGCTTCGTTAGGAGCTGTCGATTTCTTCCCAATTCACTAATCCAGTTCAATCATGTACGTTTATAAGAATGGACAAGTTTGGTTTCAGCCAAACACACCGGTAGCTCTGGTTTGGAATCAACTAGTTTTATAAGCCTACACATAAGGATTAAGGAAGCATTACCTGATCAGTTTCCAGCTACATTAAACCGACAGTGATAAATACCTTCCATAAAGATTGGTTTGACTTTCACGTGTATTGAAACGACTTCAAAGGGAGAGTAATGATAACATTGCAAACAGCACATATTAAATTTATTATATATTCCAAGTTGCTTATTGTTGTTTTAATAACATTTATATTTCCTTCAGTGATTGATTCTAATGGAAGACTTCCAGCTGGATTGTTGGAGGGCACCTTGACCAGCTTAGGATCCTACGATCAGTGTTTGGATATTGTCTCTGCCAGTAAAGAGTCTAATGTATCCACTTTCCAAGGGCAGTATTGTACTGTTTTACTGCGACCTCCACTACCAGCACGTTCACCAAAATACAGCAGCATCGCAGTTGGAGTGAAGGCTCTGTCCAATTTTTCAAAACCTGGAGAGGTCAGTTGTAGAGATTTGTTATTCACAAAGAAAGAAATCTCATAAAAACTGTTTTGGTGTTACTTAAAGAAGTAAACTGAGACTCTCCACTTACTATTATCTAAAACAAAATCTTATAGAATTATGGAAGACAGTTTCAAGTTACTAGCTTGTCTAAAACTTCTTCTTTAGCTACTGGTACATTTCAAGATCAATAAGAATAGGAATTGGAAGTTTTCTTAACTACACCTCGCATATGTTTTACTTTGGTATTATATCACATGCATTTACTTAACTATTAAATGCGGAATAGAAATCTATAAATAACCTGGAAGAACAAATTAAGATAATAATAAGTAACAGTTCTAAATGACAACTGCAGTAAGGCCGAAAGCGTATGTCTGTAAATTGATGTGATTAAGAAGACTGCGTTGTGTACTTTCTACTCTGATATTAGGTCGTCAAGAAATTAATGTGTAATTTCTACTATGATATTAGGTCGTCAAGAAATTAATGTGTAATTTCTACTATGATATTAGGTCGTCAAGAAATTAATGTGTAATTTCTACTCTAATATTAGATCGTCAAGAAAGTAATGTTTAATTTCCACTCTACTATTAGATCGTCAAGAAATTAATGTGTACTTTCTACTTTAATATTAGATCGTCAAGAAATTAATGTGTAATTTCTACTCTATTAGATCGTCAAGAAATTAATGTGTAATTTTTACTCTAATATTAGATCGTCAAGAAAGTAATGTTTAATTTCCACTCTACTATTAGATCGTCAAGAAATTAATGTGTAATTTCTACTCTAATATTAGATCGTCAAGAAATTAATGTGTAATTTTTACTCTAATAGTTTTATTCTGCTGTAACTTTTCACTCACTGTTTGTACTTATCATAACGTAAGTATTGATACACATATGCTCAGGATTATTCTAAACAAAGGCTAGAGTATCACACGCTTTACTTGTGAATGCTTATCAACATCAAGCATCCTTCAGAAGATGTTATTAAACTCGTAAGAAACTTTATTTTAAATGTTGCAGCTCATGTGCAACATATTTGGTGTTATGTTTGATGTGAGGTATATCGACGATTTATTGTCTGGTGACTATACTTGTTCGAATTACCTAAGGCTTAAGGAATCGTGACAATATCTTGAACATAAATTGACTTGACCTTACAGTCCAAACTAAGTGCTAATTTATTTGTTGTTAAATTTTGTGAATGAGTAGGAATTCGAAAATCACCCACTGAGCTTCCTTTCTAGACTGTTGTAAGTAGCATATTTTCGTTATCGGTTTATCAAGCTGCATTAACTCTCCGGGACATTTCGCGTAACTGTATATTTTCTTAAAGAAAAAAAAATCTCAAGATTTTTCAAAATTCAAATAATTTTTTTCAGGTCTTCCACGATTTTTCCCAGAATGCCCAATACTTCTATTCAGTGGCAATACGTCTAGGAATTTGTGTGCCTTCAACGTGTTCACGGTTGGAAGCTCAAAAAGCTGTCAGCAAAGGTTTGTTTCTCTGTTTCTTTTTCACATTGGCAGTAGAACACAGACTAATATAGTTTTTGGAAGACAGCTGTTATCCACTTTGGGGTACGCTTGTGATGTTCCAGTATGTGAATGACTTATGTGGCAGAATAAAATTACAAAGTGTAGTGGGAAAAATTTATACACATTGTATTAATAGTTCGAACAAATTCAAGCAAAATATTTAAACACGTACGAATACCTGTCTATCTATCTATGTGCTACATTAATTTTTTTCTCACGACAGAGCCGTAAGAGGATCTTAAAGAGTCAGACATACTGTAAATAACAGGGTTAATTGTAGTTATACTGTAAATAACAGGGTTAATTGTAGTTATACTGTAAATAACAGGGTTAATTGTAGTTATACTGTAAATAACAGGGCTAAATGTAGTTATACTGTAAATAACGGGTTTAATTGTAGTTATACCGTAAATAACAGTGTTAATTGTAGTTAAACTGAAAATAACAGGGTTAATTGTAGTTAAACTGAAAATAACAGGTTTAATTGTATTAATTGTAGTTATACTGTAAATAACAGGGTTAATTGTAGTTATACTGTAAATAACAGGGTTAATTGTAGTTATACTGTAAATAACAGGGTTAATTGTAGTTATACTGTAAATAACAGGGCTAAATGTAGTTACACTGTAAATAACAGGGTTAATTGTAGTTATACCGTAAATAACAGGGTTAATTGTAGTTAAACTGAAAATAACAGGGCTAAATGTAGTTATGCTGTAAACTTACAGTATAACTACATTTAGCCCTGTTATTTACAGTAAAACTACAATTAACCCTGTTATTTACAGTATAACTACAATTAACCTTGTTATTTACAGTATAACTACAATTAACCTTGTTGTAACAGGGCTAAATGTAGTTATACTGTAAATAACATGGTTAATTGTAATTATACTGTAAATAATAAAGCTAATTTTAGTTAGACTGTAAATAACAGGGCTAATTGTAGTTAAACTGGTTTGCGTTAATATTACTTGTTTTTATGTGCAGAAAAAACATAGAACCTCACACATAGCCTCACTTAACTCTTACATGAAGGCCACAAACCACGCAAGGTTGGGAAATAGAACGGATTGATGAAGGTAGCTGGGCCTTCAAAACTGAAACTTATTGTCTCTCTGAGTTGTATAGTTAGTCAGACTTTGCTCATTGTCTTTACACTGCTAGACAAGTCTGACTTCATCATTAGCATTTCAACTGTTTTTTTTTCTTGGTTCACAGTTGGGTTACAAGATAATTAGGGATAGGCAGTGAGTATCTAAGGGATAATTTTAGTTCTTTACCTTACCTAAGAAAGTTTCTAATTATTTACGAGATAATGGTTGTTCTTCACATTATCTAAGTTTGTTTTCAATTATTATTTATGAGGTAATGGTTGTTCTTCACATTATTTAAGTATCTTTCTAATTATTATTTATGAGGTAATGGTCGTTTTTCACATTATCTAAGTTTGTTTTTAATTATTATTATGAGGTAATGGTTGTTCTTCACATCATTTAAGTGTGTTTTTAATTATTATTTATGAGGTAATGGTCGTTTTTCACATTATCTGTGTTTTTAATTATTATTTATGAGGTGATGGTTATTCTTCACGTTATTTAAGTGTGTTTCTAATTATTATTTATGAGGTAATGGTAGTTTTTCACATTATCTATGTATGTTTTTAATTATTATTATGAGGTAATGGTTGTTCTTCACGTTATCTAAGTGTGTTTTTAATTATTATTTATGAGGTAATGGTTGCTCTTCACGTTATCTAAGTGTGTTTTTAATTATTATTTA